CCCACAAAAAATGCTGAGGCCTACATGGCTACATGAATTCATGGATGGGATGATGAATCCTGACAAATGTTAAAAAATAACACCGATCTTTCAGAAACTCTTCCCAAAAGCAGAAAAGAAGGAAACACTTCCCAGTGCATTCTACGAGGCCAGCATTACCTTGACACCCAAACCAGACAAACACATGAAAAGAAAACCGAAGACCAGTATCTCTTATGAATACAGACACAAAATTCTCAACAAAACCTCAGCAAACCAAGTCCAGCAACATGTACATACAAAGGATTACATGTCATGACCAACTGGGATTTTTATCCCAGGAATGAAAATAATGAAAATGTGTTTCAACATATAAAACTCCACCAGTATAATGTAGCATATTAATAAAGGAAAAAACCCACACGACCATCTCAATAGGCATAGAAAAAGCATTTGACAAAACCCAACACCCTTTTATCATAAAAAACACTCAACAAACTAGGAACAGAAAGGAACTCCTAGAATTCCTTCTAGAGATGGAAGGGAACTTCAACTTAATAAAGGAAACCTAAGAAAACACAAAGCTCACATCAAGTGTGTGTGTGTGTGTGTGTGTGTGTGTGTGTGTGTGTGTGTTTGAGATGGAGTTTTGCTCTTGTTGCCCAGGGAGTGCAATGGGCGATCTCAGCTCACCACAACCTCCGCCTCCCAGGTTCAAGTGATTCTCCTGCCTCAGCCTCCCGAGTAGCTGGGATTACAGGCATGCACTGCCACACCCGGCTAATACTGTAATTTGAGTACAGACAGGGTTTCTCCATGTTGGTCAGGCTGGTCTCAAACTCTTGACTTCAGGTGATCCACCCACCTCAGCCTCCCAAAGTTCTTGGATTATAGGCATGAGCCACCTCACCCAGCTGCTCACATCATATTTAATGGTAAAAAACTGTATGTCTTCCCCTTAAGATCAGAAATAAGAAAAGGATGCCCATTCTCACCACTTCTATTCAACACTGTACTAGAAATTCCAACCAGGCAATCAGGCAAGACAATAAAATAAAAGACATCCAGAGAGGAAGGAAGAAGTCAAAGTATCTCGATCGGCAGCCCCTATCAGAAGCCGTGATCTCATCTATGGAAAATGCAAAGGAATCTACAAAAATTTTTTAGACCCAATAAACAAGTTTAGCAAGGTTGCCAGACACAGCGTCAGCATACAGAAATCTATACTACAGTGAGCAATCTGAAAATGAAGGGAACAGTTACTTTTACAATAGTATCCAAAGAACGAACGAACGTAGAAACAAACGGAAACAGCATCAAACATATCCTCCAAAAGCCGCCGAACACCGAAGGAAAGTAAAGGAGATCTAAATAAGTGCGAAGAAATCCCCTGTTCACAGACTGGAACATCTTCCAAATTGTTCTACTGATTCAACACAATTCCTTTCAAAATTCCAGTTTTTTTTTTTTTTTTTTTTTCAGAAATCGACAAACTTATTCTCAAATTCACATGGATGGCGGAGGGACTTCATGTAGCCAAAACAATCTTGAAAAAGAAAAAGTTGGAGGACTCACACTTCCTGATTTCAAACTTGACGACAAAGCTAACTAATCAGGACAGTGTAGGGTGAGGACAGATACACAGATCACTGGAACAGAACTAAGAGTGCAGTAGTGACCCCTATATTTATGATCAATTGATTCTGACAAGGGTGTTAAGATAATTTAATGCAGACAGAATAGTCTTTTCAATAAATGGTGCTGGTACAATTGGATATCCACATGTAACAATTCATTTGGACACGTCTCAGACCATATACAAAAATTAACTCAAAATGGATGAAGCATTTAATGTAAGAGCTAAAACTATAAAACTGCTGGAAGAAAATGGGTAACTCTTTGTGACCTCAGATTAGGAAACTAAAAGCAGAAGCAACTGAAGAAAAAATAAACTGGACTTCAAAGAAATAAAAATATTTACTTTGGGAGGCCAAGGCGGGTGGATCACGAGGTCAAGAGATAGAGACCATCCTGGTCAACATGGTGAAACCCCGTCTCCACTAAAAATACAAAAAATTAGCTGGACATGGTGGCTCGTGCCTGTAGTCCCAGCTACTCAGGAGGCTGAGGCAGGAGAATTGCCTGAACCCAGGAGGCGGAGGTTGCGGTGAGCCGAGATCATGAGCGAAACTCCGTCTCAAAATAAATAAAAATAAAAATAAAAATATTTGTGCATCAAAGATAATAGAGAAAGTAAAAGACAATGCAGAGAATGGAAGAAAATACTTGCAAATCATATATCTCATAATGGTCTAGTACCCAGATTACATTAAGAACTCTTACATAAAACTCAACAATAAGGGCTGGGGTGCGGTGGCTCACGCCTGTAATCCTAGCACATTGGGAGGCCAAGGCAGGTGGATCACCAAAGGTCAGTAGTTTGAGACCAGCCTGGCCAATATTGTGAAACCCTGTCTCTACCAAAAATACAAAAAATTTACCTGGGCATGGTAGCACGTGCCTGTAGTCTCAGGCAGGGGAACTGCCTGAACCCAGGAGGTGGAGGTTGTAGTGAGCCAAGATCACACCATTGCACTCCACATTGGGCAACAAGAGCAAAACGTTGTCTCAAAAGAAAAAAAAAATTGGATAAAGTTTGTTTTTGGTGAGGATGGGAAAACAAAAATTCTTGTCTCTTGCTGATGGAACATGCAATGGTGTGGCCACTGCGAAAAATACTTCGACATCCTTAAAAAATTCAACACGGCAGGGCGCGGTGGCTCACGCCTGTAATCCCAGCACTTTCAGAGGCTGAGACGGGTGGATCACCTGAGGTCAGGAGTTTGAGACCAGCCTGGCCAGCATGGTGAAACCGTCTCTACTAAAAATACAAAAAGTAAACCGGGTGTGTGGTGGTGTGTGTCTGTAATCCCCGCTACCTGGGAGGCTGAGGCAGGAGAATCACTTAAACCTGGGAGGCAGAGGTTGTAGTGAGTTGAGATCGCCTCACTGCACTCCAGCCTGGACGAGAGGGAGACTTTGTCAAAATAATATTAATAAGTTCAACACAGAATCAATCCCCATAAGACCTGCAATTCCACGCAACAGAACTGAGAGCATACATCCTCCCTAAAGACTTGCACACAAATGTGGACAGCAGCATTACTCACAGTAGCCCATGAGCAGAAGCAATGCAAATGTCCATCCACTGGTGAAACGGTAAACTGATGCGGCCTATCCAAACAACAGAACTGTTATTTAGTGGAAAAAGTAATTAAGAACCGACATATCTACAACGTGGATGAACTCTGAAACACGATACAAAGTGCAAGATGTCAGATGAAAAAGGCCACATATTAGGTGATCCAATTTATATAAAATGTCCAGAATAGGCAAAGCCATAGAATTAGAAAGTAGATCAGTGGCTGCCATGGGTGGAGGGGCTGGGGGTTCTGTGAGAGAAGGAAGTAACTGCTAATGGGTAAGGGTTTTCTTTTTTTTTTTTTTTTTTGGAGTGATGAAACATTCTGGAATTGGCTGGTCCTAACTGTTGCACACTCTGTGAATATGCTAGAAACGCTGAGCTGCATACTGTCGAAGGCTGAATTTTTATGCTACTCGAGTTATAACTTAAAAGGAAGAATATAAAGAGTTAGAAGGAAAAAAAGGAACGTATTGACAGTGATGTGTCAGAGGAGTCCACTTGGGTGAAGGTAACCAGAGAATTTAAGAACAATAATGAAACTAACGACGAGCGGCTTGCTTTCCATCATCACTGCACCCCAGTAGTGCTGAACAATGGCAGTAAAAAAGGCTCCTCTCCTGCAGGGTGGACTGCTCCCTGTATGCCACTGTGAGTACACCACTGTGTGCAGAGGGAAAAGGGAGCGTGCATTATAATTCATTATGTACAACCTCATGTTTGCACAGTGCTGTCAGAGGCATAATCTTCCCCATAAACCTGTGGAGGAGGAAGACCCACCAGTGAGACAAGAAGCCTCCCTGTGGCCATGACTGCTAGTGATGGCCTCCACAGAGCTCTGGAGGCGAATACTGATTTCAGTAAAGGGTTTCCCACGAGCCACACTCCCCAGGGCTGGTGGGCGGGACTGGTGTCCTCATCCCCGAGGCCTCGCCATGCCCAAAACGTGGATAGTTACCCACAAAGGCATTTACCCGACTCTATTTCCTGACTCCACTGAAGGTTTCTCTGCCCAACAAGGAACCATTCCTCCCTCCCCACTGCTGCGTCCACATACGGCACCTTCACCTGTTTTCCAGCAGTTACCAAAGGGGCCTAGCAGGAGGCTGTGAAAACAAGTCTCAGAAAAGCACAGCCCCTAAAACAAACCAAAAAAACAAAAAAAAGAACAGAAAACCACAGCCCCTAGTTATGAACTGCAATAGAAATCTATGCAGCACGGGAACCACGTCTGTGGGGTCTTCAAGGGTAACTAGATAGTACATTAAAATCAGACTTCTGCTTGTGAGCTGAGTGTTGGGAGAGCCAGCAGAGCACAGACACTCTCCTGGGATGGATGCGCTGTCATCTGAAACAGAGCAGGAGCTGGCCAGGGGTGCGCTGGGCAGGAAATGGAATTTCTTCAACAAACTGGGAGAGGCACGTGGCATTTTTTCCATGACAAGAATTGAAGTGACTTTTACTTTCTTCTTTATACTTTTCGGTACTGATTTAATATCATAAAATAGAGGTTCCAATATATACAGGCAGATTTAAAACGTAATATTCACTTAGTAAAAAGTCAGACACAAAATATTTTTATTTTGAAAGAGAAAAAATATGAGTTGACTCCTAATCTGTGACAATCTGTTCAGCTCTAAACTTCACAAATACCGAATTCCAACTGTGATGTCAGTGAGCAAGTGTGGAGACCTGGGGGCGTGCTCCTGCCATCTGCCGGGAGGCCTCTCGAGGCTGCGGGGATCTTTTTTCCCAGTCCCAGCATCCTCAGTTTCTGTCTTACTGAGGAGTGAGTTCCCACCAGCTAACTCCTGCTTACCTGGACAGGTGGCTCAATCATTATCCAGGCTGGAAGCATGAGACTGGGATTGAGAGGCTGAGTCCCCACACGGAAGTAAACTCCACCCCTGGAGTCACAGGCCCAGATGTGCTGATTTCCACATGCCAAGCTTGTCAACTTTACAGCTCCTATAGACAAAGAAAAGTACACACATTGTCATTACTTTTTGCACAATGACTCATCTTTCATCTAATCTATGAACTTTGATTTTCTGCTTCAAAGAAAGAAAGGCGGCATTTGCAACTGAACTTGGACACCAAGTCACCTGATCTGCCCTAGTCCATCCACACCGGCTATGTGGACTTGGCTGGGCTTGAGGGTTATGACAGCCTCTGGCCACTCTGCCACGTGCCAGGTACCACACAGCACCCCTTCCAGGCAACAGGCAAAGCAGTCGAGATGCTGCCGGCACAGTGTCCGTAACCACCAAGCCCTGGGGTTAGTACCTCCATGTGGGTCCCATCGCCAGCTTCCTCAGACACGCACTAATGCCAGTCAATTCTGGATCTGGAGAGAGGGAACCCATATTTACAGATAATCTTGATCTTAATTAGAATTAAACTGACTGGGCACGGTGGCACACACCTGTAATCTTAGCACTTTTGGAGGTCATGGTGGATAGATCGGTTAAAACCAGAAGTTTAAGACCAATTTGGGCAGCACAGTGAGACCCTGTTTCTACAAAACACACATAGATGAGTTGGGCATGGTGGCACACGCCTGTAGTCCCAGCTACTCGGGAGGCTGAGATCGCTTGGGCCCAGGAAGTCGAGGCTGCAGTGAGCCATGATGGTGCCACCACACTTGAGCCTGGGTGACTGAGGCCCCATCTCGAAAAAACAAAAAAAAAAACAAAACCAAGTCTCCCAAATAATATTCATTATTCCTTTATTTCTCATTGCTATTGAGACTGATTGTAAGAGGAAAGGAAATGGGAAGTTTTTAAAAAATAGAAATTACATCTGCTAATAGTCTGGCTAAAAGAACAGCAGTCGACAACAGTTCCTGAGTAGCTGCTGTGGACAGGCTGTCAGCCAGGTCTTCACTCATCTCAAACCCACAACAATGACACACGGCGAGTACTGTCCCACTTTACCCATGAGACCACTGGGCAGGAGACAGCCCGTCAAGGAGGCAGAGGAGGATCTACCATTTGGACGCGGGTCAGCCTGGCTCCTCAGAATCAGCAACCTCTGACCTCTGAGACTTTCCCTGCAGCGCAATGCACAGATCTTCAGGGCTAAGTTCAATTCCATTTTTTTGTTTTGTTTTTGAGACAGAGTCTCTTTCTGTCACCTAGGCTGGCATTCAGTGGCGTGATCTTGGCTCACGGCAACCTCCACCTCCTGGGTTCAAGCAATTCTCATGCCTCAGCCTTCCAAGTAGCTGGGATTACAAGCATGTGCCACCATGCCCAGCTAATATTTGTATTTTTAGTAGAGACGGGGTTTCACCAGTTGACCAGGCTGGTCTCGAACTCCTGACCTCAAGTGATCAACCCATTTCAGCCTCCCAAAGCATTGGGATTACAGGTGTAAGCCACCATGCCCGCCCCAAAGTTTTAAACAACTTTGTCACCCCAGAAAGTTCCCTCGACTCCCTTCTGGTCAATGCCCTCTACCCTGAGGCAACTGCTGAACTGACTTCTTTCTTTCTTTCTTTTTTTTTTTTGAGACAGAGACTCGCTCTGTTGTCCAGGCTTGAGTGCAGTGGTGTAATCTTGGCTCATTGCAACCTCTGCCTCCTGGGTCTTTTTTTTTGAGACAGTCTCGCTCTGTTGCCCAGGCTGAAGTGCAGTGGTATAATCTCTGCTCACTGCAGCCTCAGCCTCCCGGCTTCAAGCAATTCTCCTGCCTCAGCTTCCCGAGTAGCTGGGATTACAGGCACCTGCCACCACGTCCAGCTAATTTTTATATTTTTAGTAGCGAGGGGGTTTCACCATGTTGGCCAGGCTAGTCTCCTAACCTCAGGTGATCCGCCTGCCTCGGCCTCTCAAAGTGCTGGGATTAAAGGCGTGAGCCGCCGTGCCCGGCCTGTTGAACTGGCTTCTATCCCACAGGTGAGTTCAGTCTAGTCTAGAGGTTCCCAAAGCAGAAGCACAGCATGCACGCTCTGGCATCGGTCTTCCTCCACACAGTGCCATGCAGGGAAGTGCTACCACGGTGCCACTCCTCTTCACTGCCACCCATGACTTCACTGCACACACATGACAAGGCAAGGTTCTCCGTTCACCTGCTGAACTATGCACTATTAGGAGCAACATGGCCATAATCACTCTTGTGGGAGGCTTTTTTTTTTTTTTGAACATGTGTTGATTTCCTTGAATAAATGCCTGGAAGTAGACTTGCTAGCTATAGGATAGGTACCTGTTTGACTCTTTTTTTTTTTTTTTTGAGACAGAGTCTCACTTTGGAGTACACTGGCACAATCTTAGCTCACTGTAACCTCCACCTCCCACATCCAAGTGATTCTCATGCTTTAGCCTCCCAAGTAGCTGGGATTACAGGCACCTGCCACCACAGCTGGCTTTTTTTTATTTTAGCAGAGCCAGGGTTTTGCCTTGTTGACTATGCTGGTCTTGAACTCCTGACCTTAAGTGATCCATCCACCTTGGCTTCCCAAAGTGCTGGGATTACAGGTGTGGGCCACTGTGTCCAGCCTGGTTCACTTAAAGAAACCACCAGTTTCCTGAATGGCTGTCCTATGCTCACACCCACGGCTGTGTCTGTGAGTTCTGGCTGCCTGCACCCTTGAACCTTTTCCATGACCGCCATTCTAGGAGGGAGGTTGTATCCTGTGGTGGCTTTAATTTGCCTTTCCCGGCTAAGGAATGATGCTGGGAATCTTTTAATATGCTATGGGCATCTGTATATCTTCTTTTGTGAATGCCTGTTCAAGTCTTTTGCTCATTTAAAAATGGACTGTCTCCTGACTGCTGAGTTACAGGAGTTCTCTGTATGTCACAGGCGCCAACCTTGTTTCAGATATGTGCATTGTAAATCTAGTCTGTGGTTTGCTTCATTTTCTTAATAGTGCTTTTCGATAAGCAGTTTTTATTTTTGATGGGTTATTCTGACTTTCAACCATGGAAGAATAGGTGTGCAGCTCCATTAGCTGGTGGTGCTGCCAGAGGAGGGCAGGCGGAGGGCGCCCCACACAGGGTGCAGAACCAGGAGGTGCTGCCCCTGCACAGTTGTCACTGGTATCAGATGACAGCCCACAGAGTGCAGCAAAACACAGAGCCATGACTCTGCCACGTGAACATCTCATCATGTGCCTGCAGTTATGACATCAACCTAAAACTATTAATTCACTGCTATAAAAATTACCATTATTCCTTTATGTATTTTCTAAAGATGACAATTTCTCTATTCCAAGAATTAACTGTATTTTCTCCTTCCTTGATCTTGTACAGAATATTTTACTAGGGAGTTTAAACAGAACTCCCTGGAACTCTAAATTACATATGCAAAGATCTGTACCAGTCAAAATAAAGTACCTTCAGGAGCAACTCTAGAAATAGCTAAGAAACAAATGCTAGTTAAGAAACAATTTTGCATGGAGTCCTCAACCTGGCTCTACGAAGAACTACAGGCGGCGGCGATCATGCTAACAGAGTCACGTGGTGACAGCAACACACCAGGCCAGCATCTCAGAGTTGGCAGCAACAACGCTGCTCACAGAACATAGAGCTCACGACATAGTCAACCTCCTTTCAGAACATAGACAAAGGACTGTAGACGATGTGCTCCAGTGCATAAACCAGCTTCTTCCCAACTGAAGACACAGGTTCAAGATGACAAAGTTGAACTGAGGGCTTTCCTGCCCCAGAGTCTCACCTGGGCCACCTGGAGAATGAGTTGTGAGCCTGTTCCACAGAAGAAGTGGTCAGGGTGTGGTGAACGTGGTGCAGAGACCACTGCCCTCCCCAGACACTCCATGGCTCCCTCACATTCCCTTAGAGTTAGGCAGGATCCCACAACCAGTTCTGGCAACAGGCTCTGAGAAGAAGGAACCAAGATGGTGGAGCCGCAGAGCAAAGCAGGCGGGATCAGGCAGCCACCGCCTGGAGGACCACGACCCTTGGAAGAAGGCAGATGCAGGGCCAGCTTCGCCGGAGCGGGGCCACCGTTCACTGTGTGCAGTTGCTGGTGTCTGGGGCTTGCTCAGGAAGCACAGCTCAGCCTGGCTGATGCTAACACAGTGACATTTTCCTGCCTGTCCCTGTTTTGTCCTTATTTTTTCTTCTGTTTAAAAAAAAAATGCTTTAATTACTTTATTCGACAAAGCAGACCTTTTCCCTTAGGATTATTTCTTAAACATATTATTTTAAAACAAAAGTGGCATTTATTTGATGCTTTACTATTTATAAAATACTTTTCTGCATAAATTACTGAATAATGTAATCTTGTTTGTTACCTAACGGCATAAACTGACACTGAATGGTTCTTCATTAAATGCTGTGATCTGATAAATTAAATTACAAATTTCATTAGTTTGCTAAACATTCCAATGCCTGACATAATGCATATTTATGTGTAAGGGAAATAAAATGTTATAAGCCTCTTAAATATCTGCTAAGTGATGCAAATTTTCTTCCAAAAACTAGGATTATAATAAATCACTACAAAATTCCATATTCAATCTCTACAACGGGGTTAGTAGCCAAACATAACAATTCCTTTAATTTAATCCCATAGCAGCAGGTGCTCTGGTAATTTGTAGAGGGCAGAAAGAAACAGGATGCTGTATCTTAAAGGGAAAAAAATTAAAGGTTTGCTTATAGCCACTACCGGAGATAACGAAAAAAAAAGGGAAAAAAATTAAAGGTAAAATCATATTCACTATTTGATACACTAAAGTCATCCTCATCCTTGAAATTAAAATTTCTTTTTTTTTTTTTTGAGGCAGAGTCTTGCTCTGTCACCAAGGCTGGAGCGCAGTGGCGCAGTCTCAGCTCACTGCAACCTCCGCCTCCCAGGTTCAAGTGATTCTCCTGCCTCAGCCTCCCGAGTAGCTGGGATGACAGATGTGCACCACCACGCCTGGCTAATTTTTGTATTCTTAGTAGAGATGGGGTTTCACCATGTTGACCAGCCTAGTCTCAAACTCCTGAGCTCAGGTGATC